GTCAAACTCAACTGAATGATGCTTTATCCATTTGGTGATTTAAATGATTACGAAAAACACATAAGTTAGTTCATTTACCAGAGCTCTACTATAAAACATTAAATATAATGAAATTTATGTATATTAATACTAGTATTTATGTAAAAGTAGTTATAAAGAAAGGGAAAAGTATATTGAAATTATTTCATGTAATTCATATGGGACACATTTTTTCGGGGGGGGGGGCTTGATTTTAGTAGAAATAAAATATATCTAAGGAAACAATATATTTCCACTAAGAGGCATTCTAAAGCCAGAATAAAAAGCTGTTGTTTGAAAGCAAATGATATTGGGCTCTTCTTCTAATAATGGGTTAGATGCTACTTTCATTGTTGATTTTGTTGGGCAAGGAACTGGGAAATATATTAGATAAGAAAGAATTGCTACCCATTTGGTTGCAATGCTTTATTTTGGTGAAGTCTAGTTGCTAAGCAGCTTCATAATCTACCTGAGACAGTTAGCCAGTATTAATATTTTATAAATTTAGGAGAACAAAGAAGACTAAATGCATATTACATATCCTCTTTCATGGCAGCTCTATAGTTTATTATTAATGCTTGTTTCTTTATTTAAGGTTCAAAATATTACAAAGATAAAATTCTTCCAGGCTTCAGTTTTTACCTTGAGCCTAATTACAGAAATGAGAGAGTACTATGGATTGAATTGTATCTCCCCAAAAAGAAATATATTAAAGTCTTAACTCCCATATATCAGAATGTGACCTTATTTGGAAACAAGGTCACTGCAGATGTAACAAGTTAAGATGAGGAGTAGGGTGGGTCCCTAATGTAGTATGACTGGGGTTCTTACAAGAACACAGCCATGTGAAGACAGAGAAACATAGGGACACCCTGTGACAATGAAGGCAGAGATTGGAATTATGCAGCTGCAAGCGAAAGACAAAGATTACCAGCAAACCACACAGTTTGGAAGAGACAAGGAAGGATTCCTGTTCATGGTGCAGAGGGAGCAGGGGCCTGCCTTTGGAATTCCAGTCTCAAAAACTATGAGACAATACATTTGTGTTGTTTTAAAATGAAATGAGCTATCAAACCATGTAAAGACATAGGAATATTACTCAAATGCCTATTACTAAGTGAAATAAGCCAGTATGAAAAGAATATATACTGTATGATTCCAACTATATGATACTCTGGAAAAGGCAAGACTATAGAGACAGTAAAAATATCAGTGGTTTCCAGGTGTTATGGAAGAGGGAGGGATGAACAGGTGGAACACAGAGGGCTTTTAGAGCAGTGAAGGTATTCTATATGGTACTATAAATAGTGGGTACATGTCATTACACATTTGTCCAAACCTATAGAATGTGCAACACCAAAAGTGAAATGTAATGTAAATTATGGGCTTTGGGTGATAATGATGTGTCAGTGTAGGTTCATTAATGTAACAAATGGACCACTCTGAGGTGGGATGATACTGGGAAGGCTGAACGTGTGTGTGAGTTGGGAATATATGGAAACTCTATGTACTTCCTGCTCAGTTTTGTTGTCAACTTAACACAGCTCTAAAATATAAAATCCAAAAAAAGAAATAAAGAAGGTTCTACTATGCCAGGACTGGGTGTCTAAAGTCTAAACATGTAAGGGAGATGCTAAGGGCTATGTTTACAAGATAAAAGACTAGAACAACAACAAAGCATCTGCAGCTGATTCAAGGAGATGAGCTCTGCTCTGCTTCTGGCCAAGGCAAACTAGCTTGTATCAGACCAAAATCTTGCCAAAAACAATAAGAAAAGGTGAATCGAATTTATAATATGTACTGTTTGAACATCAAAAATCATGAAGGCAGTGATGACCTGAGGGACCAAGATCCATTACCTCAACACTTGGAGCCACTCTTCCCTTCCAGGAACTCATTAATTTGTAAGTAGTTGCTGGGAGGCTGAGTAGCCATGCAAAAGCTAAGAGGCTGGAAAACTATGCAGAGGCTTCCGCATTCTTATGAGCCCAGGGAGACAAAAATTAGTATTGAAGACCCACCATAAAGAAAGGCCCTGGTTCCCACTACAGAAGAGCTCTACTCAGTGGTATGTAGGATCCAGCTTATACCACCTGACTGTGTGCATCTCTTCCCAGTTCCATGTCTAGGGATGGCACATGGGTAGTTTGAAACTGATACAGTGGAAGTGTTTATACCATGGAAATTGGCAAATGCTACAACTCGGAACACTTCCTACTGAGAGTCAGTTTTAAACACCAGCATACCACAGGCTGCATTAAAAAGGTAAGGCAAACCAGAAATAAACCAATCCTATGTACTACTATTTGTAATACCTTAAACAATAAAATAAATTTTAAGAAAAAAGAAATAAACCAATCCTGAGACAGACTGAGAAACAGTTCCAAAGGTCAATCTCAGACAAATTAATCAGTCTTTACCTTAGAGCCTGGTAGAAGCAAAATTAAATCCTCCTAGAAGATTATAGTCTAGATCAGTGGTTCTCAACCTGTGGGTCGTGACCCCTTTGGGGGTCAAACGACCCTTTCACAGGGGTCGCCTAAGACCATCGGAAAACACATATATAATTACATATTGTTTTTGTGATTAATCACTATGCTTTAATTATGTTCAATTTGTAACAATGAAATTGGGGTCACCACAACATGAGGAACTGTATTAAAGGGTCGCAGCATTAGGAAGGTTGAGAACCACTGGTCTAGATGCTACAGTTTTTTAAATTTATTTTATTTATTTATTTTTAATCCTCACCTGAGGATATATTTTCATTGATTTTTTATAAAGAGAGGAAGAGAGAGAGAGAGAGAGATAAACATCAATTGGTTGCCTACAGAACTCGCCTGACCTGACCAGGATCAGGGATCAAACCCAAACCTGGATATCCAGACCAGGAACGAAACCCACAACCTTTTGGTGTATGGGGTGACCTTCCAACCAACTGAGCCACACTGGCCAGGGCCCTATAATTTTTTTTTTAAATGAAAAATGCTCATCATTTACTAAAAATAATCAGATGCATAGAAAGGGAAGACAACTGGTCAAAGTCAAGGAGAAAAAAAAAGAGAAACAAACCAAGACAAGGCCTACATACTGGAAAATTCAGAATGGACTTTAAGATAACTAAGTAATATATTAAAAAATACAAAAGAAAATATGAGGATTTCATTAGAAATCTCAAACCTATGAACAAGAATCAAGTTATAATTATAGAAGTTAAAAATAGACTAAAGTTTGAGATTTTATAGATAGTTTGACAGCAGGTTAAAAACAGATAAACAGGCAATTAGTGAACTACAACAGTACTTCACAAACTTCGATGTATACACAAGTCACTGGAGATTCAGATTATGATCAGCAATAGGATGAATAAATTGGGATTTACATGCAATGGAATACTATATAGCCATGAAAATGGAAAGACAGCTACTTGTAAAAATACAGGGTGTCCCTAAAAATGTATACACACTTTAACAGCTGATAACTCAAAGTTTCATTGCTTTTCAGATTTAACTTATTTGAAATAATGGGTGAGACCAGACTAAGCTTTGAACAAAGAAAATTTATTCACTAGACTTTTTTTATAGGAATACATAAAAGATAAGAGTTTATGGTACAAAACAAGCAACAGTTGACAATTGAGGGCACACAAATACTGAATGAAATGATTCTTGATGTTTGCAATTCCATTGCTTCGCATTATCAGCAGTGACTGGACCAGGACAGTCATCAGTTTGAAAACAGATGTTGAGAAAAATAAATTATTCATTTCTGTAGATTCTTTTAAATTTTGAAAATGAAGTGCATGTTAATAAACACTGACAGCAACAGTTGACAATTGAGGGCACACAAATACTCAATGAAATGATTCTTGATGTTTGCAATTCCATTGCTTCGCATTATCAGCAGTGACTGGACCAGGACAGTCATCAGTTTGAAAACAGATGTTGAGAAAAATAAATTATTCATTTCTGTAGATTCTTTTAAATTTTGAAAATGAAGTGCATGTTAATAAACACTGACTTTATAATGATTCAAAGTATGTATACAATTTTTGGGAAACCCTGTATTTTTTATCCTTGTATACAAGGAAACTTGTAAAATAAAAATGAAGAAAAGTTTGAGAAAACAAAGAATGATACTGACTTCTGTTTTACTGGGAAAAAAGACACACACACACACACACACACACACATATGTACATATATACATATGCATATAAACAATAAGCTTTGGGTTATACTTTTTAGTATTTATTCATGAAAGAATTTGAAGAAAATTAATGGCAGGGCACAATATTTTTTAGTTATTAGAAACAAAGTAGAAAATTTTCAGTTAAAAAATTCTACTTCCTCTTAAGGCTCTGTTTTTCCATGTTTAACTACAGAACGTAGAAACTAAATATTTGTTTGAGACTATTACTTTCTGGGGCATTCTGGGAAACAGTTTGCCTTTACTGGATCTCAAACTTTTTTACATTTATTTTAAGTCATCTTACTGTACTATATCTATGATCATGTAAGAATAAAATTATATTGTTTTATTGCAAAAGCAACACATACCTGAGATAGATAGGTAGATAGATAGTAAACATCAAATCTATACCATGGAAAACATAGGAAAACCACAAGCATATTATGAAAGGGTCTCTTAAAAAGTAGTGTAAATATGATGCCTTCTTTGCTCACAGATATTTAAATGTTGCCTGATTTTGAAACAACCAAGACTTTATTTTATAAACATAGGCAAATACTAGTAGTTAAAATGTTCCTTCCCAGTGTCACCAGAACCTTATTCTTCAAAAGAAAAAGAGGTGACACTTTAGTTGCCTAAGGTCATTTAACTTACCTAAGGTCCCCACCCTGACTCCAACTTGGAAAATTCTCCATCTTTTATAACGTAAGCCAAGTGTGCTAACATAGGCAACACAGATGCATTTTTATAGCTATTGGCTAAATACAATACCTTACAGAAAACGATCTTACCACTTGTGCTGGAACTTGTTCCATTTTTGCAGCAGGAGTTCCTGGTCTTGGGTAAAACTGGTTAATAAAGAGGCTTGGAAATTTGTACTCTTCAACAAGTTTCACTGTTTCTTGAAAATCTTGATCCGTTTCTCCAGGAAAACCACAGATAATATCTGTAGCAATAGTTATTCCAGGAACTCTAAAAAATAATGAGACAAAAATGTAAAAACTCTATTGCAATCTATAATTATTGTACTTCCCTAATATTTTAAATACCATTGTTCCTTTTAGAATTAAATTTTACTTTCAGGAAAGAGATATTTGCAAATACTTTTAAAAGAGTCCTAAATACTAAGAATTTATGAAAAACAGTGGACCCCTGTCATCTGCAAGAGATACCCATTTTTAATTTTTTAAGATGTTTCTTTGTTTTCTATTTTAAGATACTTATTCTACGATTTCTAGATTTACTTATTTTAATGTAATATTTACTGACTTCTCTATTAAGATAAATGAGGATTTAGCTCTTTAAACTACTCTATCCCTCCCTTCACTATACAATCATGCACAATTTTTGGCGAAATTAATAATATTTTCATTGGTATAACTGCAAAGATATTGTTCATTGCAGAGCTAACTGGTATACTATCATGAAGTTTCTTTTGTCACAATATTGAATTTTTCATAAAGTTAATAGTTGTCTCTTTTTAAAATTTTTCCCCAATATTCTAAATATTCTATGTATCTATGCTAATGTTTCCAGAAGCTCCATCAAGTCTATCAAAAACCAATACTATTTTCTAAACATTCAATATCTATAATAATAAAAGCATAATATGCAAATTGACCGAACAGCTGAACCACCGTCCAGATGACCTTCCAGATGAAGCCAGGGCTGCGAGGGCCAAGATGGTCGCTGGGGCTGCTGCCTCGGCCCAAGGCAGCCAGGGCTGCGAAGGCCTACTCTTGCACTAATTTCGTGCATCGGGCCTCTAGTATTATATAATTGACCAGTTTAATTCCACCCCCCTGTCCCCTCTAGAAATGCCACTCTTACTTTCTTCAAGTGTGTGTTGCATTCATAATAAAGCAGCTGTAATACTTGAATGTTATTCCTTGGTCTCCTTTTTTTCAATTCCGTTTTTTTCCTGGATCCCATGTCCTCTTAATTCTTGATTATTCTATTCTCCATAATTTTGCAGGAGCGTTCTTTCAGAAGTGTCATTAAAAAAGAGAGCTAACAAAATTTTGTTACTGTCCTAGGATGCCTGAACTCTCAATTCATGACTGATCATGGCTATACATAGCACTCCAAAATGAAAAGTATTATCCACCTGAATTTCATAATCTTCCCCCCTCCCTTTTTTTTTAAGCTGGCAAGGTTGATAAGGTGTCCAGATTTACTCTGAGGCACACTTCTTCATTTGTGCCCCACTCTCTTTTTGAAAGCTTTTAGGATATTAAAGTCATTCTTATTGATTTTAAATTTTATAATAGACCTTGCGTTAGGTATTTAAGTTTTTGTAAAGGATACAATCTAGAGAGTCATGTTCTTTAGGTCTATGTTCTTTTTAAAATCATTTCTTCTTTCTTTTTTTAAAAACTATATTTTGGTTGATTTCAGAGAGGAAGGGAGAGGGAAAGAGAGACAGAAACATCAATGATGAGAGAGAATAATTCATTGGCTGCCTCCTTCATGATCCCTACTGGGGATAGAGCCTGCAACCTGGGCATGTGCCCTGACAGGGCATTGACCTCCTGGTTAATAGGCTGACACTCAACCACTGAGCAACAGTGGCTGGGCTAAAGTCATTTTTTCTGTCTCTGGGATGCCTCTCCTTCAAATGTTGAAATTGGTGAATTGAGTCTCTAAGCTTTTCCACTGCCATTTTCAATCTTTGTCCTTTTATTCCACTTTCTGGAAGATTTAGTTGATTTTATCTTCCAACTCTCCTATTGAAAAAACTTTAATTGAATATCTTATTTTAAATTTCTCTCCATCTCCAAGTTTCCTTTTCAAAGCATAGTGATTTCATTTTAGAGATGCAACATATTTTCTTATTTCTGAGGATACCCAAATTTTTTTTTACAGTTTTCCCTCTGCTCAATGCAATTATGTCTATTTCCTCCAGGTTTATTTTTTTATTTTTTTTTGTCCCTCTCAAAAAAAAAGATATTGTTCATTGCAGAGCCAACTGAAGGCTTTCCATCATTAAACAATTTTTGTTATCCTTTATTATTTAAAAGTAAATCACTAAACACTTTCCATTATAGAGTGGTTAGGTAAACAAGCTGCCTTTTCTTTTGATAGGTCCAATGTTAGCATCCTAAAAATCATTCCTCCTCCAGGTTTATTTATTTATTTATTTTTTGTCCCTCACACACACAAAAAAAAAGATATTATTCATTGCAGAGCCAACTGAAGGCTTTCCATCAATAAACAATTTTTGTTATCCTTTATTATTTAAAAGTAAATCACTAAACACTTTCCATTATAGAGTGGTTAGGTAAACAAGCTGCCTTTTCTTTTGATAGGTCCAATGTTAGCATCCTAAAAATCATTCCTCTGTGGCTATTGAGTTTCTCAAGTATGCTACAATAGTTTATTGTATACTAACAGTATAAGAACAACAAAATAACATTAACAGCATTCAAAATAGAATCAATAAAACAATAGGAAAAATTTCAAATCACAGAATACCTAGCTATAAAGATTGTTCTACCACCTAAATGCAGTTCTATAAGAATGAATAGGACAGCTTATCTCATCAAGATATATTAAATATTTGGGGCCATAAGTGAGAACAAAAGAATGTAACAAGGGAAAAAAATCAAATTACTGGATGCCTAATACAAGCAGCTTCATTATTCCATACCTAGTTTGTATAATCCTTTAAAGCCTGTGTGGAAGAAGAATGATAAATTTATTTTAAAAAATATTTTCTTGATTCCTACTTAGTCTCATTTAGCTATTAATTTGGCTGAACTTTAATCAATAAGATAAGTTACAAAGACAGGAACTTTTCTCTGTGATGATAAATAGAAAAAGAGACAATATGCATAGAGAAAAATAAAATGGTATATTAAAAACAATTTTTATTTTATTGTAATATAAAAACATATTTTCTTCATTAAGGGTGATTATTAAAATTATGTTGGAAAATCATAAAAACATGCTTTTACAGTAAACTACAGATAGTAAGACCATTTCCTATACTTATTAAAACATGTGGAATAGAAAAATGATGTCCATTGCTTCAATTAGCTAATTTTTACACTTATAACTACTCCTAAACAAAGGTAAAAGTAATGGATCACACTAGAAATGACAGAGAAGAGTCTATCTCTCCTAGGAAATTAAAAAAAAATCTTAGAAACTGTCTGTGAAATACTGCAGAAACAAATACAATTCCTTATTGTCCTAGGCTGTGAATTAGAATGAGCTTGGCACTAGATTATGGGGTATTCCCACAGGAAAGTACCTTACTGATTTTTCCCCACCCCCCAATCCTTCTTGATCCAGGATAGTTGAGCTCAGTATTATGCAACACCTGCTTACTTTGGCTTCAAGGCCCACAGTGAAAAAGGAAAGACAAACCTTTGCACTAGTCATCATAAATGTTAAGGAAGGAAATGTCCAATGCGTGGATATATTTGATAATCTACACAACAAGTTGACTGATAACAGGGGAGGGAGCAGACCACCATGAATTAGTGAAAGACCTATGTTAGTCAGAACTTAAAACTAAAAGTAGTTTAATTGGTTTCAAAGTTTATAAGAATATAAACTGATTGCCTATAAAATGTTTCCAAAGTAGAGACTGCATTTTAATATTTGATGAGGCTCATTTATACATTAATTTTATATCTGCAAATGACGCTATATATGTTCTTAAAAATAATTCAGTTCCTTAACTGAACCAACAACAAAAAGCTCCTCATAATTACAGTGTTAATTTGCTCAGTAAATAATTCTCTACAGTATATGAGAAAATCAAATTTTGTAGTGAACCAAGTTCTAAATTACATATGATTTAAGTGCTAAGAGGAAATCATATGAGGTGTAAAATACAATATTAATCCAAATATTTATTATGCTAATTATGACTAAATGCTGTTTTTGAGAAGCCTTGCATTTTCAAAATATTAAAAATATTAAAATGCATTTCCATGAATTTATTAAAACTGTGAGTCTAATGAATATAATTACTAGGTATTATGTGTTTTTAAAATTTAAAAGACCTTCTATATCTATATTTTCATAGTAGCATTAGAGAATAATTCTGAAAGAAGAATATAGAAATGTTTAATTATATTAAAGATAGACATTTTGACCCATTATTGTTTCTGACTTACACAAGCTATTTACTGGCAAAATGGGTTCATTAAATTACTTGGAAATGGAATTAATGAAAAAGATTCAAATTATGCATCTGCCTTGGCAGAAGCAGTGCTATGTATGATCAGTTAAGAAATCTATCAGGACATGTGAGGAGAGTACTACCTATTTGCTGGTCCAACGCTAGGATTTTTAAAAGCCCCAATATTTTCAGACTTATTTACCTTGATTAAAACTACATATATCCTATATTATATTTGAAATACTATTAAAATGTAGTACTTTAATTCGTCTCAAGATTTTCACTTGCAATTTGGTGTTACACTGGCAAAAATAGGAAAAAGGTTGATTCCAGTTCATTCTTTAGATCAAAAAATTATTAGCTTCAAATTCCACATGTCAAAAAACTAAAAATAACATATATTCTATTACCTCAGAAAAAGAATCAGACCTATTAAAATTATTAGGCATAAACTAAACACATGGTTGAAAAATATATTTTAGTTCTATGGATATTAATTCCAGGACAATTACTCAATACTTCCAGGAAAAGCAAATTAGACAGAAGCAGGGGGAAAAATATCTTGAACCGAATGGAAATCAATATATCTAAATATATGGGATTCAGCTGAAGCAGTGTTTAGAGAGAAATTTATAGATTTAAATGTTTGTGTTAAATAATCTAAGCTTCCACCTCAAGAAGCTAAAAAAAAGAGCAAAGTAGGACAAAGAAAGGAAATAAGGTACAAGAAGTCAATAAAATAGAAAATAGAGAACAAGTAAAGATGCCTCTTTATAAAACAACAACAAAATTACTAAACTACTAGCTAGACTGAGAAGAAAAAGAAGACACAAATTAC